ATTTTTCTGACTGAACAACGTAGATTATTCCTTTAACTCCTAAACCCTTAAACTGATCTGAGTCAATTTTGCATAGTTACTCTCTAAGACTTCGCGGAAAATAAAGGTTACCATGAAATCTATGTGTGTGTATCATTTCACCCGTTCCTCCTAATTTCATTTCCTTGACATTTTATGATATAATTTAAATTTAGATGTTGTAGATATAAAAGAAGCCCGGGCAACGCCCGATGCTTTAAGCATTTTAAGTTAAGGTTATTGGCTAAGAACAGGGAATCCCAAAGGCCAGTTATTGAGCTCGAAACTTTATCGGTTTAACGATCATTAGTGATCGACTTGAGTCGATCGATTTCTAATATTACATTTGAATTCGCTGACGTAACGAATTTCATATTTATCGATTATGAAGGTAGGCGAACCTAAAAGTAAAATGCAGGAGAGATTATGAAAGAGCGGCTGCTGTGAAATATCTCCTTATGGAAATCGTCAAAGCTAGTTTCACATCGCACACGGAAAAGAAGAAGGTAGGAGAATGTGACCATGTAACGACGTAACTACGAACGGATTATATTAGTTATGTGACGTAAGCACGTCTTTCGAGTCTCTCGAATTGCACGAAAATCAGACCGATTTCTTCCTTGATCCGATTTTAATAAATATAAGGTGCAATAAATTCTTCGTGATAAAAAAGAAAGGAAGAAAATTGAAGAGGAGAAGAGAATGCGGGGAGAAGTGAGGGGGGGAGAACAACGCCGAGTTGAGAATGAATGTGTACCTTCGGGGCTTTCTCACTTCCGACTGTGTGCGAAACGCAACACGTCGTCGTCGTTGTCGTCATCATCTACTCTTCCCGAGATTAGCGCGCGGGATACTTTCTCCGCTCGTCCATTGCTCGTCCTACGAATTCAGCTAATTTTCCCTACCTTTATTTCCCCTCTTATGCCCGTTTTCTACTACTATTACTACTACTACTACGCACAGAGCGTTTAAAGTGTTACAACCTGTTTTCTCGTGGGACTACGGCGTGATAAAGTTCCTTTCTTGGAGATTCATCGGCGTTTCTCGCGAGATAAATGAGCAGCCGCCTCTGTTGGATCTTCTTTTTTAGACGACCGGACGGACGGCAGGAGCCGATTCTCCTTATTAAACCCAAAACCACACGGTTTCTTTTCTCACGGATCTCTTGCTTCCCCATATCGGCGTCTCTATGAAAGGTCGGACGGATTTTTTATTCCAACATATTCCGTCGCAGAATATTTTGCGAATCATTAGCTATGCACTTAAAATTATATTACAAGAAAAGAAATATAATAAGCGCGCTAGTAGAAGTCCGACACTATTCATTTTTTAGAGGTCATTCTTTGTTCTCGAGTATATTTCTGATATATTGACTGTGAGGTTGATAAATGGGGAATTTTTTCTCCTTTATTGGGACTCGATATTGAGGTGAGTGTACTTTCGAGCAAGCCTAACGAACGACTTTTTGACTCGACCAGTTTGGACATGAGTCATTTGTAAAAGTGGACAGGGTCGTACAGAATGTTTCTATATCCTGATAGCTTAATGTGGATTCCGGAATTTAATTAAGATCGGTAATCCGTCTACAAAAATGTCGAGGACATGCCGGTTTTAGGATTATTACTACAAATAATTATTGTTACTAAGAGTTAGATGCTATTCGCTGCTATCGACTCCTCTTATATCTAGGTTAACAGTCAAATGCGGTAAAATCAAACGAGCCACTTGCATCGAAATCGAGAGCAACGTGTAAACGTATAAACAATACAGGGTGGCGCATATAGGACCAAACGCAAACTGCATTTTCTGTACGCGCGAGTCTTCCGCGCGATACTAGTGATCCACTTCAATAATTCCAAAAATACCGGACCTTGACATTAGGATTTTCAGTTTTCGAAACTTGTCGTCCGAGTATATTGATACAACTATGAGATGCTTTGCACGTATTCAATAATTAAGAAGTGTGTGTCACAATCGAGAGAAATTCGCAAAAAAATATTTCGACAGACTGAGACACAAATATGAAGGGAATTGACGTGTAATTATATTGAAATCTCTGCGCGCGTTATCGCACGTCACTCCGTAATCAGTACGGATGGAGATTATTCGTGATGTGTGATCAAATATAAGGGCTATAACAATTCACGTCGACCACGGTTAATCACGTAACGTCCAATACACTCATTATGTACATTCACTTTGGGCTCTCTTCAAATTTTCAAGCTCGCCTCAGTCTGTAACTTTCCTCACTGAACAAACCGCTATGGCGATTGTATACAGGTTTGGGCAAACCCATGGGTAAAACCCATGAGTTTAACGTCCTACCTTGGACCAACTCGAAACCGGTATCATATGTGATACCGGTTTTGGGTTGGTCCAAGACAGGACGTTAAACCCATAGGTTTTAGAAAGCACAGGACCCTTCGGGCCCGCTCCAATAAAACAACAACGGTAAAGGTCCAGTAACAAATCTCGGGATGAGATTTTTAATCTTTCCAAGCTCAGACGCATTGATGACGTTCGAGTGAAGTATTTTTCTTCATAGAATAGCGTCTGAGAGACGCTTCTGTAGTTTTGCGGTTTGAATAAAATTGACTGTCGAGAAGTACGATCTCCTGAAGGACGATTTCTACATAATTATATATATTTATATCTACACTGAGAGAAGAATTTAGTAAATATTATCAAAATTTGGTTACTATTACTAAATGGTGGACGTAAATATAGCGGGCCAAAGCTATGGCAATACTTATTAATTAATTTAGTTCTGTAAAATAAATTATTTATTTGAGAGAAGTAAAATTTATTTGATTCCAGAATATATTTGGTAAATAAAACTTATTGAATAGTTGGGCAAAATAAGCGATTTTGTAATAGTTACAATATTTTTGGTAGGTTCAACCAACCATCTATAATAATAGATATTGAAACGATGTAATAGCTGCAAGTGAATGAATTTTTCGTTGTGCTGCAACAAAACATACTTATACTGGTAACAAAATAGAACTCGTACCTACTGAATTTTTTATTACATGAGATATAATAATTTCATAACAATATCAAATATCTGCTCATAACTGTAATATATTTCATATTAAATATTTAACATTAAATAACTATTACTAAATTATTTAATTGATGTTACTGTGAATGCAATTATGTCATACTCCCCATCTATTAAATATTTGGCAATTATTATCATATTTAGTATTAGTTACTAAAGATCCAACGAATTTCTGTAACTAAATGCAGTTTGTTATAGTTACCAGTTTTTTCTCTTCAGCTACTGAATTCAGACAATTATGTGACGATAATGAACACGAAAGCGCCAACCTTGTACTTTAAAGTGACATCGATAAAGTGACAGGGAGTGATTCGATGATTCCCCTTAGATGAAAAGCGGCAGTGACCGAAGAAGGCCGGATAAGGAGGTATGCGTGAATAGAAGATGTGTCGAGCATACGTGACTGAGGACGTTACAAGACGCGGCAGAATGTAGCCCGCGAAAACGGTAGATTCGTGGATGACGCAAAAACCGTGCGTATCACTCGTGCGTGACAGCCACCCGATTTTCCATCGTCGATATCGCGGAGATGTACGTAACATTCTCGCGAGGCGACATATCGTGTGACCGAATTCGCGGCTGACCGAGTTCGCGAGCGAAGTTCGTTGTCGAGGACGCTAATTTTCCTTGCTACACTGAAAGGAGATTTGGTAATATTCAACCAGCCTGGATAACAGTTACTGAATGCTTTGGTGTAATAGTTTTAACTCGGCATATAAGTGAATATGATCGGATAAGTTGGTAAGTATTAGCGAGTAGCTTTAGCAAGGCTTAGTATCTGTTGTTTGATAGTATTACCACTTTATGTGGTACGCATCACCAAAAAATTTGTTAAATAAAACCATATTGTTTGGTAATAAATATACGAAGTGATCAAACATTTTTAATAAGCCCAACTATTTAGTGACCATTGCCAAATTATTTGGTGTCATTTACCAGAAATCATATAATTGCTTCAACTAAATGAAGAATTTGTTGTTTTATTAATTATTTTGTAATTATTACCAAATGGTTGCATGCGTAATAATCATTACCGTATTTGATATTAATTACATAATTGTATTAATATAATGATATTAATTACATAATTATAATGTTGTATGGAAGAGTGATTAACCAAATGCATTTGTAATTATTAAGACTTTTCTCCTAAATTTCAGTGAGACTTGGGATTTCTATTGGTTTCTTATTCACATTATCAAATATCAAATTTCTAAGTTAATCGATATTGAGTAAAAAACCAGAAGGCACCAAAGAGGAGGAAGAGAGAGAAGAACTGAGACTCAGCATCAGTTCCGTTTCTGATACCGAATCGAGTAAAAAGTCTGACAAAAACTTGGACGGATCAATGGAATGCGCACAATACGGCGATAAATGATCTGAGTGTAGCTGTCGTTTGCAGAAATTGCGTTTTGCAACTGGTACGAAAGGAATAACAGAGTTTTTGGTGATTCTTTAATTCGTGGGTTTTCACTCGAAAGAGCCCGTTGAGAATTTTCACTCAGTCATCGTGAACGTTCCTTCCACTTTCGCCGGCAAATCTCTACTCGCGATTTCTAAATTTTCGAGCGCATTGAATTTCAGCGTAAAAAGAAAAGAGGACAAGATTCATAATATTGCATGCAATGTCGATTGACGCGTTACATACATTAGCGAAAAACATATTTTTCGTAAAAATACTACTTATAACCGAGAACGTGAATGTTAATCGACTCTGACTTACGCCGCTCGTTCTTAGAACCGACGACGATGACAACCCTTGCGTTCGCTTCCTCGCACCCTTCGCGGAGAACGCGGCTCGGCCGTGTGACGACGCGCGACGAACCGCCGATGACTACTACGCGGAAAAACGCGTTTTCGCCGCAACAGGTGCTCGCGCGAACGTGTCTCGCGTATCGATCGCAAATCCTTCACTAACCTGGTACAATGCCGAGAGATGATCGACCAAAGGATTCCGCGGCGATAGCGAACAGGCAGGCAGCCAAGACGGGCAAGATAGGCGATCTGGCTGGCGAATGTAGACAGGCAGGCAGGCAGGCAGGCAGGCAAGGCAGAACACAGGCAGGTAGGTATGTAATAACTTTCTCCTCGCGCGTGGATCTATCGATCCTCTTTTCTGCCTCGTGGACTTGACGCGAGTAAAACAGCCCGGATTTTGTCACTGACGTTGCTGCCGGTCTCGCTTTTCCCACCTTCTTCATCGTAACCCCTACCTGCGCCGGTGTCCTGTCCCTCTCCTGCCTTTTTTACCACTGCCGCCGCCGCCGCCCCCGCCATCGCCGCATCTACCCTCCCTCCTTCTCTTCCTTTTTGGCATCTTTGCCACCGGCCGAAGCTTGTTACTTCCACTCGTCCTTCCACCTGTTTTGTTCCTCTACGGGGCGCAGCACTATGATCCGCCGGAGAATGCCCGGGATCAGCTGGAGGACGAGCGGAAGTGCGCGCGTGACTCCCACGATTTCCACCTTTCATCTTGGCATCGGTACTTTTCGTTCCGGTGCGCGCCGGGAAGAATTCATTTCAGGTAAACGATCAAATGGAATCGGTAAATCGCTACTATGGCTCAGTAATGAAGTTCTTCTTACGTCGCGATCGAACAAGGTCGCGAAAAAAGGGATTCTTCATTTCTACAAGAAACTCGTTCATGATTTTTCCTAAACAGGAGGAACAATTGAGATGAAAGCAGCAATAAGAATACTGAGGAAAAAAATATTACAAAAATAAAAAATTTTTATTCATTAATATTTATTTATACTAATATCAAAAATGCCTTAAATGAGGAAATATATTTTCTCTTAAAACTTCGATGTTTCATGAAAGCGTCTTTTTTTCGACTCATGAGTAAATAAATTATTATAAATAACTTATGAGTATCAGAACTGCAAAAAAAATGTCACATTTTTGAATATGGTGCGCCAAGACTTGGCACACCATATTTAAAAATGTGACATTTTTTTTAACGTTTTGATACTCTCTTGAAAAGTTCTAGAGCTCTTTGCAAAAATTTTAAATAGTTCCGGTCATTAAATACAAAAAATAGACTTTTAAAAAAAGGTGCGCTAAGTTCTCGAAGCGCACTTAATCAGTAAAATCAACTATTTCTTTAAAACTATTGTTATAAATGATATA